GTCTATTTTTGTCAGTTAGGTTGACAGTTGGACAAGATGATCTTTAAGGTCCCTTCCAACCTAGAAGATTCTGTGATTCTGTGAGAAAGAATAAGCACTGGCTAAAACTGTAGCCAGGGACGGTCATTGCAAACTGACACAGCTCCAGGGAACTGAGGGAAAGACTCGATAAAGAGTGTGTTTTAGGGACGAGGAAGTGCAGCCACAACAGCATCACCTTTGAACAGTCTCATACTTGAGAACAAATTCCCAATAGCAGCTGTTGTAAACAGTGTAAACACAGGTGAGATGGATTGTGCTGCAGGAGTGGTACCTGCATTGTTAGTTGACAGAAGTTAATTAACTTCAATAAACTCGTGGGGCTGAGCAAGGAAACTGTAGAATAAATTATCAGATAATAAGGACTGAACACTGCTGGGGACGGTGCACTTCTTAAAATGTCTTTTCACATACCCTCAGCACAAATACTGATCAGTGCAAACGATCAGGTCCTGGTAAGGAAGGCTGGGAGGGCACGTTGGAAGCTGGTGAGCTGAGGAACAGCGTGGCTTTATCAAGACGACGACGTTCCAGACCAACTGGTCTTTTACAGAAAGGCTTTTCTGTCCCTTCCATTGTATCCATTTCAGGAGGGACCTGCTAAGGTGCAAACCAGGAAATTATCACCTCGGTTGGAGAAAATGAACATTCTGTGAGAATGGTGGGGACCTGGTAAACAGCAAAACCAAAGATCCTGAATTTGAGGAGAGCGAACTTTCTGGTGATTAAGTAATTAGTGGATGGAACACCCCTGGGAAACTGCCCCCGGGGCTAAAGGAGCAGGACAGAGCTGGCAGCTCCTTAAGGACATGTTACTTAGTGTGCAGGAGCTCTTGATTCCCACATGTCAGAAATTGGGCAGGGAAGGCAGGAGAGCAGCCTGGGTCAGCAGGGACCTCCTGGTCAAACTGGCGTCAGAAAGAAAAGCATGGGCAGTGGGACCAGGGACGTGTGTCCTGGGAAGGACACAGGGATGTGCAGGGTTGGGATCAGGAAAGCTAGGACACAGCTGGAGCTGAATTTGGCAAAGGATGTGAAGATAAGAAGGGCTTCTGAAGGTGCATTGGCCAGAAAAGGAAGATGGAAGAAGATGTGTAGCCTCATGTCCCCTCAATAGAAAAGGCAGGAGAACTGGTGGCAACAGCTCGGAGAAGGCTGAGGTTTTCAACAATTTTTCCCCCTCAGTTTTCACTGGTGATCCCTCTTCCCACATCTCTGAAGTCTCTGAATCTCAAGGCAGAGTCTGGGGAAACAAAGTCCCTCCCATCATAAGAGAAGATGAGTTTTGAGACCACCCGAGAGAACCTGAACAGACACAAGTCTATGGGAGCCCACAAGATGCATCCCAGGGTCCTGAGGGGACTGGCTGATGTAGTCTCTGAGCTACTCTCCATCATATTTGAAAAGTCATGGCAGTCAGGCAAAGTCCACAGTGACTGGGGAAAGGGAATATCGCACCTGTTTTAAAAAAGAGTAATAAAGTGCACCTTGGGAACTACAGAGAAGATTCTGAGGAGACCTTCTGGTGGCTGTTCAATGCTGGAAGGGGACTTACATGAAAGATGGAGACTTTACCAGGGCCTGTAGTGGCAGAACAAGGGGCAACAGTTTTACACTGACAAGAGGAAAGGTTTAGATTGAATATAAGGAAGAAATTTTTCACTCTGAGGGTGGCCCAGGTTGCTCAGAGAAGCTGTGGCTGCCCCATCCCTGGAGGGGTTCAAGGCCAGGTTGGACGGGGCTGGGAGCAACTGAATTTAGTGATGTGGCAGCAGAGGGTGAACTAGATCTTTAAAGTTCCACTCCAACCCAAACTACCGTATGATTTTATGATTCTGTGATAATTGCAGGGTGGGAACGGGGTTTGGGGATGCCGAGGGACTGACCAGATTGCCTTTGTGTTAAGGAGAACTCCTGGTATGGAGGTCTGAGAGCAACCAACTTAGAGGAACCCTGAGAAAAGAAATTAAATATTACACTTTTTCTTTCTAATTTGGTGATGTTAGTGGTGATTAGTGGTAGGAATCAGTTTGCCAAGGGCAATTAGTGTAATTGAATGTTCTCAAACAGAAAGCACTGTCAAATATTTTGCTTGTAAGACTGAATTGCTGATGGTGAGACGAGCCTTTGGGGGTAGGACTTTTGAGGAGAGGGAAGGGCTTTTCTGCAGCTGCTGTGTCGAGGCACTGAATGACGTGTGTTCTCCTTAAAATCTCAGGTTTGCCAGATGAGAAGGGTCGATTTCAGATTCTCCACATCCACACGGTGCGGATGCGGGAGCACCAGCTGCTGGCAGAAGATGTGGACATCGCGGAGCTGGCAGTTGAGACGAAAAACTTCAGCGGTGCTGAGCTGGAAGGTTTGGTCCGAGCTGCTCAGTCGACTGCCATGAACAGGCACATTAAGGTCAGTCCCGTCGTCTCTCACTGGGGCAACAAAAAGGGAAAAACAACTGTTTGAGGTCTTTTCTTGAGTGTTTGCTTCCACATGGGTGATGGCATCTCAGCGCACCTTAGGAGATGAGATTCATACGGACACCACCTTTTTGCTGTGTTTTTAGGTGGGTCTGAATTACCTGTTTCATCCCCTAAGAGGCTCTTGTGCAGCTCCGGGAGAACAGAAGGTGGTTGTGTGTCAGTGTGTTGTGATCAAAACTGAAAGTCTTGAACTCACCTTCTGGGTTGGTCCCAGGAGACAAGAGGTAGAAATGAAGCAGCCCGTTGTAGGGAGGGATCCCTGCTGCAGCCTGTGCAGCTCGATACAGAACCACAGCACGGTTAGAGTTGGAAGGGACCTTAGGGATCATTGAGTTCCAACCCCCTGCCCTGGGCAGGGACACCTCCCACCACACCAGGTTGCTCCAAGCCCCCTCCAGCCTGGCCTTGAACCCCTCCAGGGATGGGGCAGCCACAACTTCTCTGAGCAACCTGTTCCAGTGTCTCACCACCCTCACAGGAAAGAATTTCTTCCTAATATCTGATCTAAATCTCCCCTCTTCCAATGTAAAACCATTACCCCTTGTCCTGTCACTGCACTCCCTGACAAAGAGTCCCTCCCCAGCTCTCCTGTAGCTCCTTCAGATACTGGAAGGGGCTCTCAGGTCTCCCTGGAGCCTTCTCTTCTCCAAGCTGAACAACCCCAGCTCTCTCAGTCTGTCTCCATAGCAGAGGGGCTCCAGCCCTCTCATCATCTTCATGCCCCTCCTCTGGACCCGTTCCAACAGGTCCATGTCCTTCCTGTGCTGAGTACTCCAGAGCTGGACACAGAGCTCCAGGTGGGGTCTCACAGGCGCAGAGCAGAGGGGTAGAATCACCCCCCACAACCTGCTGGCCACACTTCTCTTGATGCAGCCCAGGATGGGGTTGGCTTTCTGGGCTGCCAGTGCACACTTCCAACTCCTGTTGAGCTTCTCACCCACCAACACCCCCAAGTCCTTCTCCTCAGGGCTCCTTTCTGAAACCTCATCCCCTGGTCTGTATTGATAGTGAGGATTGTTCCAGCCCAGGTGCAGACCCTGCACTTGTTTTTGTTGAACCTCATGAGGTTCACCTGGGCCCACCTCTCCAGCCTGTCCAGGTCCCTCTGGATGACATCTCATCCCTCTGGTGTATCGACAAGCCCACACAGCTTACACTCATAAATGATCTGTAAAAGGGGGGAGCAAAGAGAAGGTTAGAAGCTCACGGCTGTTTTGTGTTCATGAAGCTGAAGGTCACCTATGGAAAACTGCAGAAGGCGTTTGAAACAAGGTGAGTGCACAAGATGTGGTCAGTGAATTTAAGTGTAGGCTGAGGAGAGAAAATTCAGGCTGGTGTAGGCAGTGACAGGGACTGACCTCACCATTGCTTGGAGTTACAATGGTCTTGAAATATTGGCTCAGCCCTTTCAACCCCAGTGAAAAAGCAAATGCAACATTAGAATTTACTAAGAGAAGTGTAGAGAGCCAGTGAGGCTGTGAATTATGTCCTGGATGAAATTCCTGGTGTGTTTGAATCTCTGCAGCCTTGGGAAGGTTGTGGTGGGAATGGGGCATGGAGAGGCAGCAGGGAAGGGCAGTGGTACAGGAGGATGGGAAGAATGGCTCCACTGGGATTTCTCAGCTGGAAAAAAATATGGTGAAGGGTTATGAAAAGTGTGTGAAATAATGAGTGAACTGGAGTCAGTGAACAGGGTACGTGTGTGTTCTTCTTCCTAATAGAAGAACTTGGAGAAAGGCTGAAAGACTTGGGTCTTTTTAGTCTGGAGAAGAGAAAGCTGAGGGGGGATCTGATCAACACCTATAAACACTTGAAGGGTGGGTGTCAGGGGGATGGGGCCGGTCTTTTTTCAGTGGTGCCCAGGGACAGGACAAGAGGAAATGGGCACAAACTTGAACCTAAGAAGCTCCATCTAAACATGAGGAAGAACCTCTTTGCTGTGAGGGTGGCAGAGCCCTGGAAGAGGCTGCCCTGTGAGAACCTGAATGAGCAGGCCCTGAATGATTCCAGCAGGGCCTGCTCAAAGGCAGGAACAGGAGAAGTGTGTTGAGTGAAGACACATTTAAGCAGCAGAAGGGACCTTTGCTCCAAGATGTCCCTGAGAGTAAAATCTTGGTGGAGGTCAGAAGGGGCTTGTACAGTGTCTTCCATTTCAAAGAAGAACTCACTTGATGCTGCTCTCTGTGTGTGTAGAGACTTGTGGAGTTCTCGGCTCCCTCCGTTCTGGAGGAGCATCACTTTGCTTCCCCAGGGTTTGCTGACTGGGAGGTCGGTGTGTCTCTAAAGGAGTTAAGGGCCGTGAAGTGTCAGGTTATATTAATCCAGATGCAAACCACGGTATTTGCTGGTGTTGAAATACACAATGATGAGTTTGTGAAGAAGGAGGAGGCTGAGAGATGGATCCCCTTCGCTCCGCTGGCCAGGAACCGGGGTGAATTACGCAGAGAAAAGCCTTTGCCATCAGTTCAACTGCAGTGGTATAGTTTCAAGTAAAAAGTCTGTTCAGTCTTGAGTATGAAGAAAGCAAGTAATATTTTCATTTATGCATAAATCATTTGTTTGCAGAGATGTTTATATCTCTTGGGAAGACTCTTTCTAAAGGAAAAATAGTTCTTTCTGCTAAGTTTTCTTTTATAGCCGTAACACTTGAAAAGTTCTTAACTGATTCCCATAGCAAAAACCCACAGACATCAACGGTTTCTAATTTTCTTGTATTCTGTCTCAAAAAAAAAAATAATCAGCACCTCTGGAGTTATTTTCATCCCTTTGCAAGCAAAACATTTTCCTTCAATAATAAATTTTGCTTATAGTTTACGTTTTTTCAGTGCTTGAGTTTCCAGGTGAGGTTGGGGACCATTAGTGTTTCAATATGGTCCCTGTTGTGCCGAAATGTCAGGGTGGGAGACGAGAAGGTGGCAGAAGATGGCAAAGCAGAAATGCAGGAGACAATCCCCTCCTTTGGGTTGGTTCGTGGTCGACACCTTCATAACGTCCGTCCGCGAATCCCGAATGGGGAGCGGCCGCGCTTTGTTTTTCTTCTCAAACACTTTGACGTAGTATTTTTGGATAATCTTACTGTTTATTCTGAAGGTGTCTTCAGCCAAATGATGCACTGAGGTATTTTATTCTCTCCTACAAGTACTGCAAAATTTAAAATATACATCATAGGCCTGACCTAGTTTTCAGCAGCACCTGCGAGAAGCGAGAGCAGAAATTCAAAATCAGGGGACACTGTTCTTCTGAATCATTTAAGCTCTTCTGATACTCTCTCAAAGGGGGTGTGTGTTAAAAATTAAACCGTATAACTCATTAAAGGCTAGGAAAGAAAGAAAGTGTACACACAACTTCAGGAATTATATTAATACTGTTTCTAGTACCTTCACTTCCCTCTGACAAAGCAGAAGAGTGATCCACCTGTGCTGAAGACCCGCTGATGTGATGTATTTGGCATCCTGTGCTTCTGCCTGGTGGGTGAGAGGGGACTCCAGCCTTTCAGCCATGGCCTGGTTATAGCTATTTATAGCTATATAGAGCTATTTATAGCAGAGGGACATGAAAATAATCAGAGGGCTTGAACGCCTCTCCTGTGAGGACAGGCTGAGAGAGTTGGGGGGTTCAGCCTGGAGAAGAGAAGGCTCCAGGGAGACCTTGGAGCCCCTTCCAGTCCCTCAAGGGGCTCCAGGAGAGATGGGGAGGGACCATGAGGGATGAGGGAGGGGAGCCCTAGGAGGAGGGGGAAGGGTTTGACCCTGCAAGAGGGGAGATGGAGCTGAGCTGTGGGGAAGAACTTGTTTGGTGTGAGGGTGGTGAGAGCCTGGCCCAGGTTGGCCAGAGAAGCTGTGGCTGCCCCATCCCTGGAGGGGTTCAAGGGCAGGTTGGAGGGGGCTTGGAGCCACCTGGTGTGGTGGGAGGTGTCCCTGCCCAGGGCAGGGGGTGGCACTGGATGGTCCTTAAGGTCCCTTCCCACCCAAACCATTCTATGGCTCTATTTGGCAGGGTGTTACTGGCCAGTCTGGGTTCCTGATGTTGCTGTTCAGAGGCTGCATTTCCTGCTCTCTCTATTTGGCACGGTGTTGTTGGCCAGTCTGGGTTCCTGAGGTTGCTGTTCAGAGGCTGCATTTCCTGCTCTACAAGACAAGCACGATGTGATTATTTTTACTGTTATTTTTCCTTCCCATGCCCAAGTGCACTGCTCCTTGCTCTGGTAGATTATCTGATGTGATTATTTTACCTTCCCATGCCCAAGTGCACTGCTCCTTGCTCTGGTAGATTATCCTGCTCAGGAGAGGGGGTCTCTGAGACACGTCTTTGAGGGCCAAAGTTATTTGACTCATCCATTGCCTTGATCTTATGCAAAGGTGGCAGAGGTGGCTGTACCTTCCAAGAAACTCCTTGAAAGCCCAAATTTTTACCTCCTGAGCTGTCAGATCACACAGGGGCATTATACTCTCAGGCAGAAGCAGGTGGTGGTGTAAAACTCGGGTAACTTTCAGTGAAAATTATTGGAATGTAGAGAAATCTGTTCTGGAATCTAGAATTGTTTTGGAATCTAGAGAAATTTGTTGTGATAAATTCTGAAGTTTCCAATTCTATCAAAAGGCTTTCGAGGCTGCACTTTGGTGGGAAAAAATGAAGATCTTCTGCCTCATCTTTATGCTACTTAAAAATAGGTTTCTGCCTTATGCCTTACCACTTAACAGTGAGGTGAATTGATTTTCACAGATCAACTTCTGCCCTCTCTCGTGACTAATCCTGTTTCTGGTATCTCTCGCTCCGCTCGGGATGCTCAGCCGCCTGCGCCCGCAGGATTAGTGTGTAAGAGCCAGGGTGTGTGTGCCATTAAGTGGAAAAAGTTGCTTCAAATCCATTTAATTCCCAATTGCTGCCCAAGGCAATCAATATCCTTGCAGGGCTACAAATAACCCCGCTAACGAGCTCTCCGTCCTGCGGGGCTGCGGCCGCTCTCGGTGACACGCCGACAGCGCGCTGTGATGTCTGCAGAGGGGAGAGACAGACGTCTGAGTGAGGTCTCCAGCCTTAAAGGCTGCTCCCAAGTTGTTTTCAAGGATTAAAAACCTCTTTGGCTCCAGTAGGAGCAGCTTTGGGCCACCTCTGGTTGTGACAGATGATTTACAGAAGGTTGCAGTGGTTTGTGCTGTCTCTGCTCTGTATTTGCTGCTGGTCGTTGGATTTTTAACGCCGCTGGGTGGTTTGGGACTGGCAGAGGGGAAAAGGTGATGCTGGGCATTTAGGGAGGTGCCCTGGGAGCTGAGCTCCCTGCAGCGTGTTCATTCCAAGTGCTGCCAATACTGCTGCCTTGGGAGGGCTTGTACCTTTGGTGGAACTGAAGCAAATAAAGCCAAAGCAGAAAGAAATCTAATATTTACCAACCCCCTGAAAGTCTTGCTTGTACAGAGAGGAAAGTGCATGGTTTGAATAGAAAACTATAACCTCCTAAAATAGGGGTGTGTGAATAATTCTGATTTTTGGCTTAGTTGCCACAGATGGTGTGGGTACGTTCAGAGCTGGGTTAAACCAAACTTTAATTTCTCTTTCTGAAAAAAGTCACACAATGAAGGAGGCTTCACCCCCTTCCCCCCCAGCTCCCAGAAAGCATAAGGAAGAATTCTTTCTACAGCCTCTAAATGGAAAAAGTAGTTCCCTGCCCTAAAAGGAACCTACATAACTCCACTGACTGTTCAAAATTTAAACTTAGGTGAGATCAATTCCACTCTGGGCACCAATCTGAGCCTCGCTGACACTGGGTTTGTGCGGTCAAGGTAGGGCAGCAGGAAGAAGGATGGTGCAGAGCTGCCCTCCTGCTCGTAGCTTGGGGTGGGTCTCTAAAACGTGGGGTCATGACCATACTCTTCAGGTTTCTACCCAGTGGAGTGGAACAACTGGCACTGAATGACTTCATGGGGTCACTTTGTGGGGATGTGGCTCTGAAGATGCTGATTGCTCCAGTGGCACCCAGCGTATGTCCAACAAATGTCTTGTTAAGAAACATTTTGCTAATTGATTCTACCAACTGCAGGGTTGGATCTGTGGGTGGAGGTTGATGAGGGGTCCTGTGTGTCCTGCTGTCCTTCAGTGTCTCTCGTTGCCTTTAGGCCAGCAATAAGGTGGAAGTGGACATGGAGAAGGCAGAGAGCTTGCGTGTGACGAGAGGAGACTTCTTTGCATCTTTGGAGAATGATATCAAACCAGTAAGTAGGCACTTTGTGACTCCTGGTGCAGCCACCCCGTACAGCTAACGACGTGAGGTGGCAACTTCCTTCTGCACCACGTGCAGTGGTGCCCCTGGGCTGCCATTCTGTGGCCTGTGGTGGAATGAGAGTGGGGACCCCATTTCTGCCCACCGCGCTGGCTCTGTTTGGAGCTTTACTTGCATGCAGAAGTCATAAGAAGGACTAGAACAAATAAACTTGGAATTTCTTCTCCTACTCTCTCCTATTTGGGCTGCTTCAGTTAATGAATGACAGCTTTAATGTGGACTCTGGTAGGAGGCTTAAACCTCATTTTTGAGAATTCTCTCATGGATAGCGTGGATTCAGAACCCATTGGCAACTTGCACTGATTAGAATTAATTTTGAGGGTATATGAAAAGACATTCCTAGAAGGACATGGTCTCCAACAGCCTTCAGTCCCTCGAACTGAAATGTTGGGTGTCATCAGAGGGTCTTCCAGTACCGACTGTCTCACTTCAGCGTCCTCCAGAGTCCTGGGCCTGGTCGCTTCAGTGATGTTTAATTGTCTCATGTTTTTCTCATGTGATGCAAAATCTCTCGGTAAAATAAATGTTCCTTCTCTTAATCCAGGCATTTGGAACCAACCAGGAAGACTATGCAAGCTACATCATGAACGGTATTATTAAGTGGGGTGACCCAGTAACGAGGGTATTGGATGATGGGGAGCTGCTCGTTCAACAGACTAAGAACAGTGACCGCACTCCTCTGGTTAGCGTGCTTCTGGAAGGTAAATTTCAGAAAGAGACCGATATATAAAACGCCCAGGTGACTTCTGTAAACTATTCCTCTCCGTTGGCCCAGTGGTCATCTCTTACATCCTGCAACTTACGTAAATGAAAAACGGGGGAGGAAGATCAGAATTGCTCTCTTCCACTTTACTTGGGTGGAATTGCTTTAAGTAATAGAACTGGCGTACATGAATGAAACACGGGGGAGGAAGATCAGAATTGCTCTCTTCTACGTAAATGAAAAACGGGGGAGGAAGATCAGAATTGCTCTCTTCCACTTTACTTGGGTGGAATTGCTTTAAGTAATAGAACTGGCTTCTCAGCCTGAGAGAAATCCGGTCCTTGGAACGATGGAGAAGTGAAGGCACCCAGTGGAGAACCTAACCGTGGGTGTTTTACAGCATGGACATCCCTAGCTGAGGTAGCTGTCTACATTCTCTCCCAAGTCACTGGAGAGCTCATCAATATAATTAACTGAGTTCGTCAGTGTAATTAACTGAGTTCATCTGGCCACATTGAGGTGTCTGCTGTTAGAGGTAATTGCCCTCTATCTAGGCTTATTGACTATGAAGAGCCAAGAAACTAGTTCCAAGATCTACTCTGGAGATATTGGACTAGAATTTGGTGCTTAACGCTTCCCTCTTTCTTTTCCTGAGGTCAAAAAATGTGGATTTACTTCTATTGCTTAGTGGTCTGTAGCTTTGAAATTAACCTTGAATAGATCCCCTGGCTAATTGTGGACAAACATGGCCGGCGTATTGGTTGTGCGCAGTGCGGTCTTGCGCTCCACATTGATTTGTGTTGGGTGGATTGATGAGGATATGTCTTTGGTCTCTGAATTATTCTGCTGTGAATTCAGGCAAATTACACACTGTCTTTGTCAATATTTACCTGGCATTCATGCTGTTGACTTGTTTGCCACGGTACCTGCAGAAATCATACTTGGAAGTGACATGAATGTAGTTCAAGAAGGTGCTGCACAATATGAACATGTTCACTTGTTTGCCACGGTACTTGCAGAAATCATACTTGGAAGTGACATGAATGTAGTTCAAGAAGGTGCTGCACAATATGAACATGTTCTGGTGCAGCCCCAGTCCCACAGAACGTGTAACATCCTCTTTTGTGGTGGTTTGGTGGTGAATCAGGCTGCACGTGCTCAATAGGTGCATTATTTCCTTCACCTGGAGGCCTGGATTGCACTGGGAGTTGGTCTGTTCCTTCTGCGAGTAGAAGAAAAGGTCGCTTTAAAATGCAGATGCCTCTGAATGAGATTTATAAACCTGCTTAAAGTTCCATCCGTGCTGAGCCTTCCCAGACCTGTGATCTCCCTTGGTTTTTCATTGCGTTTGTCCTTTGTTCCAGGTCCCCCCCACAGTGGGAAGACTGCTCTAGCAGCGAAAATAGCAGAAGAATCCAACTTCCCCTTTATCAAGATCTGTTCTCCTGATAAGATGATCGGATTTTCTGAAACGGCCAAGTGCCAGGCTATGAAGAAGGTACTGATGTGTCCCACACTTCTGCTTGATGACAACCCAACTCTGTGTTCTCTAGTGGACAGAAAAGGGAATTATCCTTGTGTTGAGGGTATATGAAAAGATGTTTCTAGATGTGCACGATCTCCAACAGCGTTCAGTCCTTCAGACTGAAATGTTGTGTGTCACCAAGGGGTCTTCCAGTACCAACTGTCTCACTTCGGTGTCCTCCAGAGTCTTGGGCCTGGTTGCTTTGATAGGTCACCAAAGTAGGTCTCTGTAGGTCCTAAATTCCTGTGTGTATAGTTATTTATAAAGGTGAACGGGTGTTTTTGTGGCACTGACATTAAGTGACTCAGGGAGAATGTCAAGGCTCCGTCCCCGTTGGATCTGACACGGAGTCGTGGCTGAGAGTGGGGAAAAAAACCCTGGTCTGCGATGGGCAGGTCTGGAGAGATGGAGAAAGGAAGGGCTTTAGGGCTGCACTTGGAAAGAGGAGCTCCTGCCTGGGTGAGACTGGGAGCAGTTCAGAGGTGGTAAGGGTTAGTTAAATCACTTTTAACAACTTGGGGAGCAGAGGGATAGAAACAAGTTGAACATCTGAAATAATTTCAAGTAGGTGGGTGGAAGGAAGGAGATCTCATTCCCTGAAGCCAGCGCTTGCTCTCCTGGCTGAGTGGTGCCCGGGGAAGCACCCGAGTGAAATGCTACTCTGAGGTCAGGTTGTTGCAGGATGGCAGAGTTCCTAAGAGCAGTGTGCTCGTAGCTGGAAGCCCAGATTGTAATTTAGATTCAAAAAGAGGAGCCTTTTGGACTTCACCTGAACCAGCCCGTGCTGGAGGCTGGACCTGCTGTTCCCCTGATGTCTCCAGTCCCATTGCTCTGCGAGGGGCTGTGGGGAGGCTCCGTCCGTGCCGCCCACGCTGGGCTTTTAGCAAAAGTGACCCTTATCCAGCCCGGGTAGAGAAGCCACTTCATTGCACTGGGGTTGTGGGGCAGCTGGGGGTGTATTGATATATTATCAGTATCGCCCCAGCTCCAAACCCCAGAGGAATGGTGCTCTGTTTTGCCCATTGCTTACAATCAAACTCAGGGCAGCTGGCTTTTTTGCAAAGTTTATGGGATAAATGAACAGTACTGAGCTCTGAATTTGGTGACATGGCGATGTTTTATTAAATGCAGATAGAGTCTGGTCTCTTGGTACTTAGTTTTGGTTTGTTTTTTTTTTTCTTCTAAATACTGCTGTGTTTAGCTAAAACCACGGCAACACGTCCTGTCAGGACTATTGTAGTTTTGCTGCCGCGATTTAACGATGAGTCATTTTGCTGTTTTTCAGATCTTTGATGATGCGTACAAGTCCCAACTCAGCTGTGTTGTTGTGGACGACATTGAGAGACTTCTAGGTGAGTCAGGAGACTGACAGAGAGAGCTGTGTTGTCTGCTGGGCGGAAATATTGAAATATTTGCCATATTTCAGTATTTTAAACTGGAAATCACAGGATTACGGAATTGTTGGAGTTGGAAGGGACCTTCTAGGGATCACCTAGTCCAACTCCCCTGCAACCCAAAGCAGGGCTGCCCAGAGCACATCACTCAGGAGCATCCAGGTGGGGCTTGAAGATCTCCAGAGAAGGGGACTCCACACCCTCCCTGGGCAGCCTCTGCCAGGGCTCTGCCACCCTCACCCCAAACAAGTTCTTCCTCCCATTGGAGTGGAACTTCCCATGGTCCAGCTTGTGCCCGTTGCCCCTCGTCCTGTCCCTGGGAACCACTGGAAAGAGTCCGGCTCCATCCTCCTTATTCCAGTTGTGGCCTCCCCAGTGCAGAGCAGAGGGGGAGAATGACCTCCCTCCACCTCCTGGCCACACTCTTCCCCCCGCAGCCCAGGATCCCATTGGCCTCTTGGCCACCAGGGCCCATTGCTGGCTCCTGGAGAGTTCCCTGTCCACCAGGACCCCCAGATCCTTCTCCTCAGAAGTGTTGATCCAGAATAATTTACTTCCAAAGCCTTGAACTGTTTGGGGTGGCTGCAATGTGCGTTTGCTTAGCGGGTGTTAAAATGCATTTTTCATTTCAGATTATGTCCCAATTGGACCACGGTTCTCTAATCTGGTGCTGCAGGCCCTTCTGGTGCTGCTGAAGAAGGCCCCCCCTCAGGTAAGAGCCATCCAGGGGTGAGATGCCCTGTTCCTGCAGTAATTTTGGCAGCGGGGGGCTCTGTGCCCGGCTGGGGGCTGCGCTGCCCCCACCCCCACTGTCTCTGCTTCCCCCAGGCTGATCCTCACCTGCTGCTCGCTCAGTTCTGGGATCACCATAGAAGGATTCAGCTTTAATTATCTAATTATTAAAGGCTGAATCTCTGCAGTTAGCCCTAGAGATACCGACTAAGGAAACAAGTTTAACCTCCACCAAGTAAAACTCAAACGTGTGAGCTCTCTGCTTGCTGATTAACTCAAGAGCTGTTAATCAATCCCTGGCTCAGCCACGTGCTCCCTCCTTATGTAGAAATCGATTTCGAAGTAACGTACAATCGTGGATGTCAGGGCTTTAAGTTGTTCTTTACTTGAAATTATCAGGTGTTAATTACAGTGGGTGAGGAAAGCTTAAGAGCTGACATCTTGTGCTGGTCCTGTCTGTTTGCACTTTCTGGCTGGATGAGATTTAGGAGCATCACAAGCGATAACGGTTCTGAAGCTTGCACTGAGCAAGACAAAGAGGCAGGGACGACTCATTTTTTCCTGTTGTTTGCTGGAATTCTGCTGTGTCTGTGTACGTGGAAGTACCTGCAGGAATAAATAACATACTGATGGGGAAACCTTGAGAGTCGGTGTCAGGAAAAAAGCAGAGAAGCAGAGCCTGGATGAACTAAATTTTTTTAGTCATTTTTAATATTCTGGAAACAGTAATGTATATGTGAGTATTGTTTGCATTAGAGAATTTGGTGGAAAGACCTTTCAAATGTAGAACTTTGAACTAAACTGTAATGCCATGGGCCCTGAAGTTCCCCTTGTGGCTGTCAACCAGGGAGAACAAGGATTTCTCCTGGTGAGGTTTCTCTGCCACCTGAGGTCTCGAACACTAACCTTGGATTCTGGTATCACACAGCCTGGGACAGAAAAGCCTTTGGATTGTCCCCATCTCCTGTAATCACTGACCTATTGCTGGGAGTCCCCACAGCAGGGACAGGCTTGTTCCTGTGAATCTACAGGGGAAAAACAGAACTCGATTTGGTTCCGTTGTCGAAGGAACTTAAGATATGAAACTGTCCGTTTCGACTGTGTCTTGCCTCTTCCATGGGCTGTTGCTGGCACCCGTGTCTCCCCCAGAGCAGGACGTGGGGCTCGGAGCACTCAGATATTTGCCAAGTTTATGCACGTTGTGGAGATTTGTACTTCGCAGGGTTTGAAATGCCCTTGAGGCTGGAAGACTTTGGGTTGACAGCCAATATTATGGTGACTTAAGCCATAAATTGTTGGAGGGCAGAGAGAGTGTTTTCTGAGGAAGTGTCACTGTTTGATTGATGATGTGGGTTGGTTTGGTTTTTGTTTTTTTTTTCTTTTTTCTAAATGTCCACTCTTGGCTCCCGTGGAGATGAAGGCCCTGGGGTAGAGGCCCCTTTGGGCTGCCCTGGTTTGGCAGCCCCGGGGACAGAGTTTCTCCTGGTGGGTTTGTTTCTTGCAAGTTCCCTGTGAGAGTCGTGGCGTGTGGGGATTGTTTTCATTAAAAAACCAACAGTGTCCAAGAGGTAGAGTCACACAGGAAAAGGCCTTTTCTGCTGTGAGTGTTGGCGGTGAAAAAGATTGGATTTGGGCACAGAGGCTCTTGGGGTTTTTAAGCTCAAGTGAGAAAGCCACGAGGGGGATGAGGCTGTGGTTGATCAGTGCCCTCCCAGCTCCCTCCGGGATGAGTAGTTCCCTTGGGGAGCAATTTATTTGGAAGTAATGGCTGGTTTCAGGGGCTTTGTTGTACTCTGAGATGCAGATACGTGCTTAAAATGTACGTGAGTAGCATCAGTGGTGCTGACCTGCTCCACGAGGTCAAACCAAGACCAGTTTCTGTGGGACTGGAATCATGATTTAGGTTCATTCCTCATAAAACTGGAGTGTCCTGGGCCGTGGCAGCGCTGGGAGGAGTTGTTGGCAGGATGCTGGGGAGACGATGCCTCTTCTCCATTGCTCTCAGGTAGGCTCTTTGCCTTTTCACAGTCAGAAGGACCGGAGATACAGAGATGATTTGAGGAGCTTTAGGGACAGGAGCAATGGAGGGGTTGGGGCAGCGAGGAAGGAGCGGGAGGAAGCGGCTGCGCTGCTGCCATGGCTGTGCCCAGGATTATGCATTCACACCGTGTCGTCACATCACTCACCGAGAGTATTCCTGGTGTGCAAGCAGCTCCCTACCACTCCTGGAGGCTACGCGTGCAAGAGGAGCAGTTCTGGGCTGAAACCTTATTAATTATGCATCGAGGTGGATGTCTCTGTTGAACTGGTTTGTCAAAGCTGCCTCCCAGGCTCCCCTCTTCCCACATCATTTTAACGTGCTGTGGGAAGGGCACACGCTCGAAGCTTCTGGTTTTCTGGGCTTCCTAGCTTGTTTGTACTTTGCAGAAGTTTTGAGAGTAAATACGTTAAAGTAGAAACATCTCCGAGTTGGCTTTAAATTCCTGGGCACAGCTCATGCTACTTCCCCTCCGCAATCCCTAAATAGTGGTATCTATTACCACGAGTTCACCCAGACTGAAAAACATTACGTTTTGTTTAGCATCTCTTTTTTTAACCCAATTAAAAAGCTTTTCTAAAACGGATTGAAGAGAAGAAAATGAACCATGTTCTCTTGGGTCTTTATTTCAATCAAGTTTCCCTGTGTTGTGCAGGAGAAGGGGCTGGGGGGGGGTAGGATAGAAAGACTGAAAAGGGCTGTCGCAGCAGGGAGCCCGGCGGGAGAAAAAGGGACTTCTCTGAGAACTGAGCGGCAGCAGCTCCGAAAGCCGAAGCTGCTTCATCGACATGCAGAGTCACACAGGGCGTGGGGACACGCACCGGCCCCGCCGAGGTTTCACACGTGCTTCCCTGCTGCTTCCCATGAAAAGCTCACAGTCGGCTCGGGGGGTGGGAGCCCGTCCCGGCGCTGAGCGGGACGTGCCGGTTGTGTGGCGGCAGGAGATGGCGGGGTTTGGGACGCTCCTCCACCGCCCTGCTCTGCCCCTCGCCTCCTCAGGACACCGGGGGCTCTGCCCATTTAGAATCATAGAATCACAGAATTGCCCAGGCCAGAAGGGACCTCCAAAGGCCATCTAGTCCAACCCCCCCGCAGTCAGCAGGGACACCCCCAACTAGACCAGGTTGCCCAGGGCCTTGTCAAGCCTCTCCTTGAATATCTCCAGGGAAGGGGCCTCAACCACCTCCCTGGGCAACCTGTTCCAGTGCTCCACCACCCTCACAGTGAAGAACCCTCTCCTCATCTCCAGTCTAAATCTGCTCCCCTCCAGCTTGAAGCCATTGCCCCTCGTCCTGTCACTACAGGCCTTTCTAAACAGGTTCTCCCCAGCCTTCCTGTAGGCTCCCTTCAGGTACTGAAAGGCCGCTATTAGGTGTCCCCGGAGCCTCCTCTTCTCCAGGCTGAACAACCCCAGCTCCCTCAGCCTGTCCTCGTAGCAGAGGTGCTCCATCCCCCTCATCATCCTTGTGGCCCTCCTCTGGACATTTATTTATGAAATTTATGAATTTATGAAAGTTGACAGGGAAATGAAGGAATAATCTCCTTGGTTGGTAGAATCCCAGATGCATTCCTGGTTCCACCTCAGCTGGTGGGGACTGGAGGCTGCTCAAATCAACACTGAGGTGACATTTATACCACTAAACCTGGGGAATTGTGTTGTCTGCCATGGATTGGTTTGGGTTGGAAGCCCATCTAGTGCCACCCCCTCCCCTGGGCAGGGACACCTCCCACCACACCAGGTTGCTCCAAGACCCCTCCAACCTGGCCTTCCAGCTCCTTGGCTTTCATCCCTTTCCAGCTCTGCCCTTTACCTCCCCTCCCATCAGCAATGACTTCCAAGCAGGCCGACCCACTGCCCAGCTCTCCACAGGAGCTGGAGGAAGACTTTTCTTCCCCTTTACCATCATATTTTGCAGCTCCAGGTCCCTGGGTGACTGCCTTTGCCAGCGTGAGCCCAGCAGTGTGTCTTTGCTGTGCTCAAGGGAAGGAGCAGCAGGAGCTCTAGAGCACAGCTCTGTGTTGGGTCATGGAATCATGGGATGGTTTGGGTGGGAAGGGACCTTAAGGACCATCCAGTGCCACCCCCTGCCCTGGGCAGGGACACCTCCCACCACACCAGGTTGCTCCAAGCCCCCTCCAACCTGGCCTTGAACCCCTCCAGGGATGGGGCAGCCACAGCTTCTCTGGCCAACCTGGGCCAGGCTCTCACCACCCTCACACCAAACAAGTTCTTCCCCACAGCTCAGCTCCTTCTCCCCTCTTGCAGGGTCAAACCCTTCCCCCTCCTCCTAGGGCTCCCCTCCCTCATCCAGAGTCCCTCCCCATCTCTCCTGGAGCCCCTTGAGGGACTGGAAGGGGCTCCAAGGTCTCCCCGGAGCCTTCTCATCTCCAGGCTGAACCCCCCAACTCTCTCAGCCCCCCCTCCCAGCAGAGGGGCTCCAGACCTCTGATCATTTTTGTGGCCTCCTCTGGCCCTGTTCCAACAGGTCCATGTCCTTCTGTGCTGAGGACTCCAGAGCTGGACACAGAGCTCCAGGTGGGGTCTCCAATTATATCCCATTACACGTGAAGAATTGTGGCTGCCCCAAAACACGTGCATAAAAGTACGCGAGGGTCCAGAGTTGGGTGAAGAGCTGGTGGCACCCACAGAGACACTCAATGTGCACCAGTAGGTGGGTACAGTGCAGTTCGAGCTCCCCTCAGCTCCCTGCTCCCGGAGATTTGCTGGAATTCAGGAATTTGATGTTCCACTGACACGTTGAGACTCCATTTGCTTGGAGCAGAGTCTACATAGACATACCATATTCTGGTTTGTCTTCGGTAGGCCGTGCAGTAACCTGGTGCCCATTGGGAAGCCAATATTGTGTTAGGAGAATCAATCTCCCAGGGCTTGGAAACAGAGTCACCACTTCCTTTTGTGATATCTGAATCCTGTGATTATA